TGCTTGTCTTCCCACCTAGCCATGCTGCTAGTGGTTTAGACTTCATGTCCCAGGACCTGATTTGGTTTTTGTTTTTGTGTGTGGTTTTTGGCTAGTATTTTTCTTTCAGGAAAAAAAGAAAAAGAAAAAAACTTTCCTCAGTGACACTGATTTTGTTTACCACCACTAAGTTGTCGGGTAGTTGGTTATGCAATGAGAGCTGATACAATTTTAATTTCTCTTGTACTGAGTCCATGCTACATAGAGATACTAACGTAACACAATGTGGTTAATATCCTTTTAGTGAGATCTTGCACTTCTTTTCCTAATACATAGATCAAGCCCACAATCCATGCCTAGAGAGTGATGATAGATCTCACACTCCCAAATGAACTCAAGGTTTCTCCTTTTCAAAACAGAACAATGTACAACTAAACAAATATTGGTAAGAAAGTGTGGAAGATTACATACATACACACACAAAAGAATGTCAAGAGAGATCTTTATAAATGAAAGCCAGGAATTGTTTACGTAGGAAAATATGTGCAGAAACCAATTAATTATTCTCCTTTGCTTTTTTATAGCACACTAGGTTTTTCTTCCAAGATTTATTGAGTCATGAGACATATTAACTATGGCAGACTGAGTTTCAATTAAAGACAGAAGGCAAGGGTCATTTACCTATAACTAAATTCTTCTTTAATAATAACAGACTCATGAGTAAAAGGAACTTGCTGCAAGAAGAATATGACAAATTGTTACCATAGCTGTCATTTTTATTCAGACACAAATGGCTCTTGACCAGAAAATCATATTAGCTCAAAACACATTATGAAACCCATTGCTAATACCAGGAAATGTTTCTTGCATGTGGGTAATTCTCCATTGAAATCAGCAACCATGATAGGGAAAAAACATCCGAGCTTCTTGACATATTATCACTCTTGACAAGATGACTTAGCATATTTTAGTTTTACAAAATAACAGAAGGTTATCACAGATTAATCAAATTCTTAGAATAAAATTATAGCCTACATTTTAAAGGCAATATCACTAACTAAATACTGCAGTGGCACTTGGAATCTGATGAGGACGATTCTTTTTAAGAAAGTGTCTCACAGGGAAAAGAATACAGATGGTATCTTGTGGCTCCTTCACAGAAGGTCACTTTGCATTCCTTACTCTCTTTTAAATGCTATCAACAGAGCACCCTCTCAGCCTTTCCTTCCTCTCCATTTCTCATATTTCTTGGCCCGTTCACTTTGTTGATTTCAATCACTTGGCCCCTTCTAATTCCTCCTTTCCTTGAACCTTAGTTCTCTCTTTCTGCCTTACCTGATACACAAAGAGTGTAACTGCTCCTCATATGACAGCGCTGCGTTTCTCTGGTGTTAGCACAAAGAAAGAATTCTCTCTCAGACAGGGTCCAGTTACCCTGCAATTTCCCATGTCCTTCTTTTCTCAAAGATACCAGTCTCTCTGTCTCTGTCTCTGTCTCTCTCTCTCCAGTGCATCCGATCCATGATAATAGAGTGAGAGTATATTTGGTTAATGTCCAGACAGAGTGAAAGTAGACTTAAGCATAAACAACTTTAAGCGGCTCTTTCAAACATTTTCCTAGAGTGGTAACAAATGTAGCTTCTAACATATAGAAGTGAACATTAAATTCAAATCAACAATTTCTACTGCCTACACGTACCACACCTCATGCTAGGGATAAAAATCCACATAAGCCTTAGGATCTGCCCTTAAAGTGAAAACTTTGCAGAAATTATAAAGGAAAACAAAGAATAATAGTCAACCATTTGATAAGAAACCTGGCAAATATCACCTGAGTATCACCATTTGGAAAGATATTCTCAGGATGCTACTGAGCTTCTGTTCTTCATTTAAAAAAAAAATTTAATTAAACTTATTGGGTTGACATTGGTTAATAGGATCATATAGGTTTCAAATATACACTTCTATGATACAAAATCTGTATATTGCACTGTGTACCCACCACCTAGAATCAAACCATCTTCTGTCACCATGTATTAGGCCCTCTCCACTGCTTCTTCACTTCTAATATGGACATAATGATGTTAATAATACTTGTTTCATAGGATGAATACTATTCAGGTCAAATGAAAATATGATTTAATGTATCTTGCAACTGTGCAACTGAATTTCAATTACATTCAATCAGCATTTATTCAGCACCTACCGTGCGCCAGGTCCTGTGCTAGAAAGCTTGGAAATAGACCTGGCTGGTGTGGCTCAGTGGATTGAACACCAGCCTAAGAAACAAAGGGTCACTCGTTCGATTCCCAGTCAGGGCACATGCCTGGGTTATGGGCCAGGTCCCCAGTAGGGGGCACATGATAGGCAACCATACACTGATGTTTCTCTCCCTCTTTTTCTCCCTTCCCCTCTGTCTAAAAATAAATAAATAAAATCTTTAAAAAAAAGATTGGAAATAAAAAGGAATCTATAATTCCTTGAAACTAGGTTCTGAGAGACAAGAGAGACATGTAAAAAATATATAGTACATGTGTCCTGGCTGGCGTGGCTCAATGGATTGAGCACTGGCCTGTGAACTAAAATATATAATACATGTAATGTAAATAATATATAACACATAATACAGTGTGATTATGTGCTGTAATAGAGATAGAGAAAATATACCAGATCTTAGAGGAGAGGTGAAATTTCCCAGCCAGGGTTATAAAGAGTAGGGAAAACAGGAAAAGGGCATCAAGGGATGCTGTAGAAACAGAGTACGTAACAATAAGAGTAACTATTTCTCATTAAGCCCCTTCTATGCACTAGTCAATACATTAGGTACTTTTTAGAGAATATTCTCAGTAAATAAAGACTAGATAAAGTATTTCCCTTCTTGAAAACGTTAACTTAGAGAGTCTGGTTTTGTAGTGGCTATCAAGTCTATTAGCTGGGAGGGACTAACAGTCAATTGCCCAGAGGGAAGGGAGGGAAGCACTGAAGTAAAACTGAAAAGTGATGGGTCCTCATCCTGGTCGCTTGCTATGTGGTGCTGTTACAGGGTGCAGCCAAGAGGGGGGACCCCAAATAGGCATTTGAAATGGGGTCCAGAACTTAAGGTGTCCAGGAGATTTTAAGATGTCTCCACGCCCCCACCCAGGGTGTGGGTTGGGGGAAGGGACAAATAGAGCAGGGCCATTGAGAGCTGTTTTGCATAGCAACAGCCTTGCAGCTACCCTCTGGCGTGGTCATTTAACATATCTATAGCCTTTGGCTGGTCGCTTAGATATGTTAAATAGCTGTGATCATCTCTGAGCCAGGGGAATGGAAGTAACTTCCCCACCAAGATGTGACTGGGGGCAGATCCCCCAAGCTACAGCGCCTGCGTGGGAGCTCAGAGAAGACTGGCTCCAGGACATGGGGCCACGCCTACCCAGACTCATGATGGCAGCCCAGTAAAGCTGGAAGGATATGAATTCTGGCAAGTGAAGCCGAGTGTGGGAGGAGTCGGAAATGAGGCTGCAGAGGAAGATTGGCCGTGGGGATTTAAAACCCAGACTTGGCGGCCATGAGAGAGAGAACCGTGGTGCTTTAGGAAGGAGAACCATGCTGCCTTGAGAAGGAGAGCCATGCGCATCCCAGAGAGAGAGAACCATGCGGCTTTGGCAGAGTAGAGATTCCCACAGCCCTGAGGAGGGAGAACCACGCGGCCTTGACAGAGTGGAGACTCCCGTGGCCCTGGGAGAGAGGACCATGTGCCTGTGCCAGAGTGGGGACCCCCCACAGCTTTAGAAGGGGGAACCACCACCTGGTTTTAGCAGAGATCCCGGCGACTCAGCCGAGGGTGCCGGGAACCCAGGGAGGTCTCCCAGTCCAGATGGAGGACTAACTAAGAACCAGAGGACTGTCTGAGCCATGGACTTCTATTTCCTTTCCTGAGATACAGTACTCTGGACTGGGAAAAGGGGGAAGGAAGGAAGGACTGTGACTCTGTTTGTGGGTGTTTTGGGGGACTTTGGGATTTTTGATGAAGACATTAGGTCACTACTTGAAGTCTGTATAGCATTAAATAAACATTTCCTTTCCTTTTCACGAATCTCTGGCATTGAGAGACGTCTTTCCTATGGCGGCGGACATAACGGACCCGGGTCCTTCTTTCAATAATAGTATATTGTCTCAGGCCCCCCCTTGTTTGTTCTGTAACAGTGCTGGGTGTGTCCCTTAGTTTCCTAATCCTCAATTTCCTCTTCTACAAAACAGAGATTTAATGCCAACTGACCTTGTAAGGTTTTTGGGATAATGGATATGGAAAAGGTTTTCAAGTTTATTGAATGCTCCTCAGGGCAAGGCCCAGGTTAAACATTCACTTACCTACAGGGGTCAGCAAGACAATATAATTTAGCAAAGAAGGGCTGTGGGAACTCTGCCAATTATTTTCTCAGTTAGCTATTGCTGCATAACAAATCACCCTACAATTTAGTGGCTCAAACCACAAATGGTTTATTACTTTTCACTGTTTTATAAGTTAGCTGAGCAATTTTTCTGCTGGTTTTGACTGGGCTCATTCACATGGCTATGTTCTTTGGAAGTTTGGCTGGGGACTGGGCTCACTTGGGATAGAAGGGTAGTTTACTCCTTGTTAGTTAATGTTCAATGTTGCCATGTAGAAAATTGGGCCTCTCACTGCCAACCTACTGTTCTTTAAAAATTAAAATATTTGTCTATGTGTGTAAATGTGTAAATGTACGTAAGTCCCTGACTTTTAAATATTAACTAGTTTTTTACTGGAAAACACATCTATACACTGATTTGGGGGTTTGGGCCAATTGGTAACCTCAATGAAAAGTAATGTTTCCAGCTAGCCTTTACTAAGTGTCCATTCCCTTAAGTTTTCTTCACTCCAAAAGGGCCATATCAGGCCCATCTGAGCTCTCTTCCTTAGTCTAGGTCATCTTGGTCAGTGATTCTCAAGGCGTGTTTCATGGATCAACAGTGTCAACATCACTTGGGAATTTGTTAGAAATGCAGATTCGAGAGCCCCCATCTTGTGGGAGCGAAACCAACGCCTGGCTCGGAGCAGCAGCAGTGGCGCGGACGCTGAGGGTTTCTCTGGCCAGTGTGTCTCCCTCCGGTCTACAGCATGGGGAATATCTTCGCAAACCTCTTTAAGGGCCTTTTTGGCAAAAAAGAAATGCGCATTCTGATGGTGGGCCTGGATGCTGCATGGAAGACCACCATCCTGTACAAACTGAAGTTGGGTGAGATCGTGACCACCATCCCCACCATAGGTTTCAATGTGGAAACTGTGGAGTACAAGAACATCAGCTTCACCGTGTGGGACGTGGGCGGTCAGGACAAGATCCGGCCTCTGTGGAGCCACTACTTCCAGAACACCCAAGGTCTCATCTTTGTGGTTGACAGCAACGACCGAGATCGTGTCAATGAGGCCCGAGAGGAGCTCATGCGGATGCTGGCAGAGGACGAGCTCAGGGATGCTGTTCTCCTCGTGTTTGCAAACAAGCAGGACCTCCCCAATGCCATGAATGCAGCGGAGATCACGGACAAGCTGGGCCTGCACTCTCTGCACCACAGGAACTGGTACATTCAGGCGACCTGTGCTACCAGTGGGGACGGGCTCTATGAGGGACTGGACTGGCTGTCCAATCAGCTCCGGAACCAGAAGTGAGCCGCACTCTTCTCTCCCCCCTCACTCCCTCCTTCACCCTCGTTTTTCCTCTCATGTGGCAGCCGTGCCCCTGTGGTGTGAGTGCCAGAAGCTGTCTCCATGGTCGGTCCCAGTGTGCTTCACCATGCTGTACATGTGCAGACGCAGCCTGCAACTGGGTTTTTATTTAATGTAAATAGTTTTTGTTTCCAATGAGGCAGTTTCTGGTACTCCTATGCAATATGACTCCGCTTTTTTTATTGTAAAATGAGAATCAACCCACTGTCTAGTACTGAGAAGGGATTTTAGGCACCAGGGCCTCTAGGAGTAGCTGTCAGATCAGTCCAACACTCCTCTGGGCTTTAGATTTGTGTTGAGATCCATTTTGATGGTTGATTTTTAACCCAAGCTCAGTGCATTTTTTAAAATAGTTACAAATACAAGATAAAGAGACACTTGAACACAGAGAAGGGGGAAATGTGCCTACTGTAGGTTCTGTAGTAATGGCTTGAGTCCAGTCTACCCATGGTCTCTTTCGCGTCTGGAGCATGTGGTGGGCTGAACCAGCCACAAAACATTCTGCATGGTCACTTACGGTCCCTAAATGGCTGTCTTGCTGGGTCTTCCGCATTCCATAGTGTTTGCTTGTACCTGTGCTTACACCACTGCCCGAGGGAAGGGCTGGGGCTGTGGCCACCACTGGTGGACCCCTTGGAGGGACCTCAGCCATCCCTTGGGTTGGTGTAGGTGCTTTGGCAGGATCACTCTGGCAGAGCAGGGGCCCCTCTATGGTCCCCATGCACGCTCACTTGCTCCAGGTTGTCTGGGTCTCACCAGTAGGAGCACGGACATGTGGCCGGTCATCTTAGAGCCTAGCTCCTCAGAGCCCCTGTCCACATGTGCTTTCACTCCTTCAGCCTGCAAGGGTCAAGTTTGACATCAAAATCAACAACCTCTACTTTTTTCTTTTATACTTTGATAAACACTGAAGAAGCTGGAGCTGTTAAACTTTATCTTGGGGGAAAACCTCAGAACTGGTTTATCTGGTGTCGTGGAACCTCTTACTGCTTTCAATACGCAATTAGTAATCAACTGTTTTTGTATACTTGTTTTCAGTTTTCATTTCGACAAAACAAGCACTGTAATTATTAGCTATTAGAATAAAATCTCTTAACTAAAAAAAAAAAAGAAAGAAATGCAGATTCTTGGGCCTGTGGATGGAAAAATGGGGATCTATAGAAAGGAACCTCACAGGGTGGTCTTATAAATTTGTAATTGGACAGGTCATGGTGGATAGTCACACCCCAGGCATGGAACTGTTTAGTAAAAGGTTTATCTTTGCCTTAACCAAGTTCTGTCCACTGTGTGTGTGCATCTAGGTTAACACACTTTTGAAATAACCACCCTCAAGAAAGCACATAATCTTGTAACCCAATCCCCACCTTGCTTTCTCTCACCTCCATGTAATCCCTCCTTAATTTCAAATGCACACAAAAAGCTGCATAACCTATTCTCTGGAGCATTTAAAATCTTGCTCCCTGGCATATGTTATTGTTTACACAAATTAACTCATAAAAACTCTTTCAATTTGGACATTTCTTACCTCAACAGTCCCCACCCCAGACTTACTGGTTCACTTGGGGTGCGTCCCAGCTATCTCTGTTCCTACAAGCCCTTAAGGTGAAACTGATATACACTAGAGAACCAATGCTTTCCATATCTGGGAAGAGAAAGGGTAAGGATACACAGACTGCCTTTCAGAACTAGAGAAGTTCTCTTCCTTGAGCACCACCAGGCAAGGTACAGGTTCCCGCTTTTAGTAAGATGAGATCACAGGCCAGACTGTGGTACAGACCGAAAGGGCCATGGGAGAGCTCAGTGCCTGCTGATCAGGAAGACTTCACACCAGTTCTCCATCCTTGCTATGGATCACCAAAATATTGATGCCAGGACCCCATCCCTAGCTATTCTGATTTAAATGATCTGAGGTGCAGCCTGGCCATCAGGATTTTTAAATGCTCTGCAAGTGACTCTAATATGCAGATATGGGACTTCACTTGGGCCTCAAAAAAAGGGAGAAAAGAAACTGGTAACTGTAGATGTCTCTGGGGAAAAGCACAGGGGAAACAGAAGACTGAGAGAGTCTCACTTTACATTCTTTTTTATAGTGGGCACTTTCTCCAGGTCTTCCTTCCTTAACTTCCAGCAGATAGGCATTCCAATCACTTCCCCAGAGAGCACAGTGCTCAGGAATGAAAGTAATTCAATGCTTTTCAAGACTTTTGGCATGGGTTTTGTTTGTTTGTTTGTTTGTTTGTTTGTTTTTGTTATAAAGGAAGAAAGGGGGAACGGGACATAGAGCTGGGTGGAATGTGAAAGTATAGGAAATGGGAGGGCTATATTCTAAGCAAAAGAAACAGTTGGGACAAAGGTCAGAGGTGAATTCTGCAAGGGGTGTTTACAAATAATGAAAACCCAGTTTATCTGGATGGTTCCTATAACACTGAAGCTCAAATCTTACTCGGTTGTTTGGAAAATCAAATTAAATCATATGTGCAAACTATAAGATGTAGTGGTGCCTGCATAGGATAAATGCTAATTTCCTTCTGAGGGAAGGAAATGAATATGTCAACCCAAAATATGCCTCTTTTGTATGTGGATCATTTTGAGCTAAAGTCAATAGAGAATCAGCAGGGGCAAGAAAAATTCTTTACCTACCCCTAACTACCTAAAAATAAAGTATAAATTTCCCCTTTTGTAAAGGAAATTTATACTTATTAAGGAATTTTTCATTTATAAATGTTTCTCTGAATCAGGAGGAGAGACAACTTTTATCACCTGAGAGATTCTGACCTGTATAACCAGGCAACCTGTCTTCACCATATGTTTCCAACCCTTATACCTTCCCATAACTTGCTTTGCCCACCCAGAGGCCCCAAACCCTCTTTCCCTTATCTAGCACAAGATGGTATATAAACCTCAAGCATCTAGCCACCTCAAGCCACCTCCTTGAGTCTCATTTCTTTGTGAAACTCCCATGTGTACCTATGTAATTAAAACTGTCATATTTTGCTCTTGTTAATCTATTATCAGTTTGATTTGAGGGACCACCCAGTGAATCTAGGAGGGTAGAGGAAAACTAATTTTTCCTCCCCTATACGTTCTTCCTATAGACCACAGACACAAACTCAAGTGCCTTTATGTGATCCATTCAGGATCAGCCAATCATTTCCAGGAGGGGCTGCAGGTCAATATTCCAGATCTTACAGTCTTAAAGAGAAACAATGTTGGCAACTAATTCCTAACCCTGGCTAGACCAAATAAATACATCTGGCCCAGGGGCTGCCCATTTGCAACTTTCATTACAGACTAACCCCAAGAAGGAAGGACATTCAGATAACTCCCAGTTTTAAGCTCCCTCTGAGGCATTATTCAGGAAGACTAAGGGACCTCCAGTAAAATCCTTATTTCACTCCAGCTCAAACTCGGTCAGCCTAACTCTCTCCAATGAAAGAGCAACCTGGCGTGACAGGATCATTATCACCAGAGGAAGGTACAATCTCACCATGGGTCCTCAGTTTGTGTTATATAAATGAATCTAAGGGCTCCATATGAAGAAACAATGACAAAGCACTCAGCAGGGCACCAAGGCACAAGCAGTTCAGGAACCAAACGGTTCTGATAGGACTTAAAACGGCCAATCATAAATACACAGGGAACATTCAGTCAGCACTTTCAGGTGTTATTTTCCCAGTGTGATATGCTTTCATGCTCCCTTTGTCTCTCACTCTTTTTGATTCAATCTATTTTGCTTAAGATTTAATATCTGGCACTATTTCTCTAAAGAGTTCTCACAGTTTTCCTCTGTCTTCTCTCCCCACTCCTGTTTCAGAGCAAGGCAGATGGAAAACCAAATAATAAACAATGACAGATGTAAAAAGATATGAATATTTATGTTGCTTCAGTTTGGGGCCCCAATGAAGCTGGCCTAGCAGAAATAAGGTTGGAGCTATGTCATCCCTACCAAAAGAGTCTAAGTATTATTGGCTCAGACATATACCCTGTTTATAAACCTAGTAATTGTAATTCTGTGCTAGACACCCACACTTCCCCCCTTCTTTTTTTTTGTTTTGTTTTGTTTTGCCACTTACGTGAGTCAGAAGTGACCCTAACAGACTTGAGTCATCTAGAAGTCCAACTCTGGGAAAACCAATATCCAATAGTCTTCTTACCTGTTGGGAGAGTTTGGTGACACTGGAATTGGTACCTAGCCACATTCCTTAATGTGTATGGGACACAAAAGCCCTGTGGAAGAGATGTTGAATACATAGTACAACTGGGATATACTTTTTGTGATAGACAGGCGAGTTCCTATTAAAAGGCCAGACCATTAGAAGAGACAATAGGGCCATAAAGAAAAAAGTCACCATAAATGAAGTAATCTGGCAGGGTGGATGTCTTAGTCAGTTCAGTCTGTCATTAAAAAATACCATAGCTAAAATAAATATAGTTTTTTATATTTCATGAGAATGAAAATAACTTTGTTGGGAATCTGAGCTTGGTGCTACCTTAAGTGTGTGGTTGCAATAGCCTGTAAATTGCCAAATGTGGTGGGAACTTTCCATCAGATATATTATCTGGCATCTGATATTATTGACAATTCCTTCCTTGAAATTCTCTCCTCCCTTAACTTCCTTTCCCTCTGAATCTCTCTGGCCACTTTTGGTGCGGCTGAGCCTTGTGCAGGTAAAGAGGCTGTAAGAAGAGAAAACATGAGACGTGCCTATATGAATAGCAAGAAATTGCTTAAATGGTAGTACCTAGACCCTTGAGGGCTGCCACAACCTTCCCCAGATTGAAGAGCAGCAAGTGGCAGATCAGACTTGAGAGGGACTGTTCTGACCCTTGAATTTTGATCATATGTCCATAAGGAGCAGAAGAAACTCCAGCATCTGTCACTCACTTTCATTCACACTTCTAGTGCCTGTTGCTGTGCTTGCTTACTTTGGAAGTAAGCTAAAATGAAAGCAACCTTGAACTTGTCCAATTAGTCATTCTTGCCAGGCTTTGAACCTGGATTAGCCAATTTTAGGCTGGCCTAACTCATCACTCCTCAACCTTCTCAGCGAACTCCTCTTCCTTGCCCTGCCCTGAATTGCTGTGGTTCCACAGGGTCCCTGCTCAGTTTTTTTCCCACTTCACCGTGTAGGCAAACCTTAAAAACCACCCAGTTCTAACAACTGCTCATAGACTGATGATCTCTAATTCTGTATCTGGTGATCACAACTGAACTTCAGACTCACGTACCACAGCTTAGCATACTCCCACAAACCCCTCAAGTGCCACATGTCCAAAACTGAATTCAGTCTCTTCCTCCACAACCCCGTCCTCCTGTTACTTTCTCTGTCTTGGTCAGCTGGACCTCATTAACTTCACTGAACAAGCCGGAAAACCAAACTCCATCACCAGGCTTGACTCTGAGGTTTGGGTTTTTTTTTCCAATTAATAAGAGAAAGTTTATTTAGAAAATTACAAAGGTAGTAGAAATGAGCCAACTGGGCTG